ATTATTGAGATATTATTGTTTAATATTGCTATGATGTCCAGTTTTTTTTCAGTGTTTCTTTATATTTACTGAGACTCATCATTGTGTCCTGGTCATGAAAATGAAAGCACAAACTGGAAGTGCCTGAGGTGCACCATTAAGGAACTTTGGTCAGGAATGTGTTGTGCTGGAGGGCGTTCTTATCTTCTGGAACATACTGAGCTCTGGATGCTGTGCACATCTGGCTGCTCTACATTACACTACATTTATGGGATTTCCACTTGAGATCTAAAAATGTTGCCGTTTATTTACAGTCAAAGAGGCTTTCCTTTACAGTAAATGTTGGAACGACACCAAATTTGTTATTAATATTTTCAAAGTTTTATTTAAAAGCTCTGTCATGACCTGGTGACCTAGCTGCCTAATACTCATTAAATACATTGTATTATTGTTACATGGTTAGTATTTTATTTTGAGAGCATACTTTAACAGGTTTATATGTTTAAAAAGTGGGTGATTTCTCTTGTAATGTAAAAGGTTTAGGCTTCCTCTATTGTTTGCTTGGAATGTTTTGTTTAAGCTGACGTCTTTTTGAGAACTGTCTGGCTCAAATTGTTGCACTATAGTTGACAAAAATACAAAACTGCTGGCGTCCAAAGCAGCTATACAGTATTTACTGTTGAAGAGTGACAGTTTATTGACTGGCATAATGTAAATGAGTAAAGTCCTACAATACTATACTATGCCCTGTGATGGACTTGCGACCCGTCCAGGGTGTACCCCGCCCCTCGCACAGTGATTGCTGGACATAGGCACCGGTGACCCCCGTGACCCTAAATGGAACAAGCGGGTAAAGAAAATGAATGGATGGATGGAATACTATACTACTTCTTGGATTGCTTTCCTCCTACCTTTGTGGGTATATTTCATTTAAAACTAGTTAATATCAACTGCGTTCAAATTATGCTTGCTCATACTGAACTTGGTAAAAACGCTTTTATGTTTTCTGTAGAGTGAAAATTTGCAAACTATATTAAAGCTTCGAGAGTGATTTTAAAAAGAAGGTAAAGGGTTTAGGGGTGGTAAAGAGTTTAGGGGTGGTTCACAATTTGCAACATGTTCACAAGTGTACAAACGATATGCTGCGGGGCCGGTGTACGTTTTTCAAAATGGAAAAAAGAAAATGTTACAGCAACGAACCACAGGCAGATCCCCCGCAACACAACCCCAACCTCCCTGATGCTTTTATGTCTAATATTGAACTTTGTATTAAACGTTAATGTGTTTAGAGCGTCGTCATCATCGTACAGACATGTGCGTGTGACCAAACTTCAAGTCCTTGAGCGAAAGAGAGTGCCACCGTCCCCCCAAACCCCCACCAAACTCACCAAGTTCCTCCTGTCAGTCAGTTTCAGGCGTTTGCAGTTTATCAGAAATATCTGTATGTCTGTATATGTAGGTTTTAAACCATTCTTACAAGTGTACAATTGTGGAATGACAATAATCTTACCTTTTAATATTCATGTCTCAGTTTACTTATAATAAAACAGGTTTGTTGAAAGTCAACATTTGTCTGTACACTTTTGGGGGTGGTTGCCAAAAAGACTGTTTTATACGCTTGTGAAAATGTTAAAAATTGTGAACCTCCCCTTAGAAGAGGACGTAATTTGAGTTGGTAATTGCTTCCCTTCTTAGCCAGACATGCTGCTCTTGAACATTTCTTTTAAACTGACGTTTGTTGAATTATATTATACTTTTATTATGTTCCTGGTGCTGCTCTACTGCTCTGTTGGTCAGTTACAAGTTCATTAAAAAGATAGAATGGACTTTTTGTTATTAAGGTACTACTTTATTCCCAGTGAAATCATTCACAAAGCATGAGAAGGGCAGAAGTCTGTGTCCACAATAAGCTAAAGGTTAAACAATGAGGGCCCTTTTATTTCTACATAAAAAAGACACAATCACATAATAAATTCTTTCAATTTATTACAGTAAATGTTTACAAAAGCATTCTTCCATTTTGAAGTTATTGAAACAATAAATTGCCCCAAATGAAAAATCGGGCCAGATTATACTTTCTAATAAACTCATGCATTCTTTTTTTTTTTTTTTTCAATTATATTCCTGAGGACAAAAGCAGTAAACACTGGAAAGCATTAAAAAGTTACCCCTTAAAAAAATATTTTTTCTTTAAATTTCATTCCAAAACAAGTGGAGCAAACGTTCCTTTCAGCTTGGCTTCAGCACCGCGTTCCTGATCAGAGGTCCACATGTCGAGGACGCTCCAGAGATGTGGAGGCTCTGGACAAGAACTGCCAGGACTGATCACACACTTATCAAGTAGATATCTAAATAAATAGAACATGGCTGATAAAAGAGAGAAAGGCGAACGCTTAATAAAAATATTGCAGACTCTCCCCACCCCTAAGCATCCGAAACGTACATGCCGTCATGTGAAGAATGGAAAAACATGAGTTGGGAGGACATGTGGACAGATGGATTGTGAAGGTTCTGACGTGTTACTGCCAGTTATAGCTGCCTCTGTGATTGACAGACTTTGGAACAATAACAAACCTCTGAGTTGTAATAAAGGTTTTGAATATGTTGGCATACAAATCTAATTTATTTCAATCATACTCAATAATTGATTAAATTATGACACATTTAGTTTGAAAACTTCCGTAAGTGCTCAAAAATCATGCTTATTTGTCATCAATGCTTGCTGTCTAATTCATTCCTAAACAAAGCCCATCCTTTAAAATAAAAACATCGAGACACTTTGAGGTTCAGTACAGTCAAGTGGAGACGATGCACAACACTAATATACAGAAAGTTGCTTTTTGTGTTGTCCGTGCAGCTTTACATGCTGATATTTCCTAAGTATATGACACTGCTTAGACATTTTCATGTCAGCTTTAAAAAAAAGAGTATTTTACTCAGAATTGTGCAATGTATCCAAAAAATTATCAAATAATTTAATGAATAATCAATATTGCAGAGGACTGCAATAAATCCTAGGCTACTTTATTTCAAGCATTTATGTTTTGCATGTGAATATTTGGTCAACCCAACAGACTCACTGACCTTGATGCCCACTCCTGGTTTAGCAGAGCGTGGTGGCAGAAGAGGAAAGTGAGGGTTTGACGCAATTAATATTTTCATCGCAATTATTCAAAAATATTGCACATCGCAAGTTTTTATAGTATCATGCAGCACCAAATTTATCAATCAGCAAAGTCATGAACAAATAATATTAAATGAATAAAAATAGAGAATTCGTTAAGCTGATTGGTTGGACCCTGGTTGCAAAAGAAAGGTGCAGAATTTTCATTAAATGCAGCTATTTGAGGCTCACTGAACGAGCAATTAAAGACTTGAACATCTGGAAGGAACCCAGAAGAACCACAAAAGATCTTTGCTATTTGCTTGGCCCAATAAAGTCCAAATATTCCAACAGAACTACTCACTACACAGCAAAACATCACGTCTCTGAAGCCACAACAGTTATGAAATATGATTTAACATATTGAGCTATTTGATGAGACGATTAAAAAAAACCTAAGGATTTTTATTTTTGTGGTTAGGCTGTCAAATAAAGACAAAACCAAATTTGTAAAAACGTGGACAGCTGAAAATGATGATCATCAGCATTTTCCAGGTGCCGCCTGCCCTTCAACCTATTATTCCACGCACCGTATTTGTCGCTGTATAAGTCGTGGTTTGTTGCATCATTTGCACGCCCTGTGACTTATAAGCAGAAGTGACGTATTTATGGACTTTTCCCATATTTATAAACCAATTTTTGGCTGAGTCATTCATTCTGACTGAAAATATTGAACACTACCATTTTTACCCACTAGATGAAAGCAGAGTAGTAAGGCATGCTGCTGTATCATGTAATAAGTAAAAGTGGCTATTAATGACACAATCAGCTTGCGTTAGTCGTCTACCGTCGTCTACCTGGAGCAACCAAATCAGCTTCATTTCACTGCGACGCCCCGGCGAAATGCAGCTGATTTGACCATCACAGTGCATTTATCATGTAAAAGTTCAACTGAGACACACCTTTACTATAAAGTCGAGCTAACAAATAATTCTCTCAGGTGGTTAGCTTGTTAAATTTCAAATAAATGGACAGCAAGTCACCATCGGCGCATTCATATTTCCACGTATCGGCTTGTGAAATGCAGCTGATTTGACAGTCAAAGTGCATTTATTAAGCAAAAGTTAGACTGAGACACACCTTTGCTATAATTTCGAGCAAACAAAAAATTGTTTTTAAATGTTAATTTTGTTAAAATCCTCATGTGCACGCTCCCGCCATTTGGCAGCCAATCGATTTTTGGTACAACACTGGCCCACATTTCCGGGTTGTCAGCGGTGACGCATAATAGATGCGACTTATACAGTGAAGCAGCACATCTATGGATTTTTTTAACTTTATTAGACATTTTTGGACTGATGCGACTTATAGGGCAGTGCGACATGTACGGAGGAAAGTGCGATTTAAGGTTTGCAATATCTTGCTTCACTGTTTGCTAAAAGACATTTTGAGCACTTCTTGCCAAATTTAAGTTATGAAAGCAAACATGCTAAAAGATAATAAAATAAACACGTCAAAGTGTTTCAAATGTTTTGCTCTCTTTCTTTTGCTGCCTATTTTGGTGCAAAACATTAAGTGCTTTCACTTGAACTGGAGAGGCGCCTTTCTCCTCTGTCGTTAATATGTATAAAAAGAAAAGTAGACAGCTCAAAGTAAAAAAAGTTTCTGTCAAACATATTATCTTAATAAATATACTGTTTAAGGGTCACTGTTGTTATCCTAGTTGGTATTTTTAATAATTTATTTGAAATCAGAGCAGGAGGGTGAGATCAAATCTCATGCTGAAACATTTGAATACTAATTTTGAAGCAAAATACTTAAAGATACAGAGTTGTGATTGGATCATGTATGCTGAACGTTAAAAACAAAACTGAATAAGCTACAGAGTAACAAAGGATTTTTCTTTTCTTGTTCTGAGAAGCCTGTTGGAGATAACAAATGCTATCTATTGTCAATCTTAGTCTTTGTCTCTTAAAGTGTTTTTTTTTTTTTTGTGTGTGATTTTCGCAAGCGTTAAAAATGGTGGAACAGATATTCACATATGATTCTACTAACCCACAAACCTGGCAGTGAATTTCATGGATTGGTAGAATGACATAAATATTTTAGATAAAATGTGATGCCATTTTGGAGCTCACAGAGTGCTTGTTTTCAGGCCCGGCTCCAGGAGTACAGAACGTCAGATGATTAGAGTATAGAGTCCTGCCGAGCCTGAATCATCCCTGAATGCTTTGACCGCTTAATGAGTGCCTGTCAGTCGAGTCAGTCTGGTCAGTCTGTGTCATACAGTACATGTGGGATATCAGTTGAAGTACAGTTCTTTCGTCAGCATGGAGACAACACAGGGGATCTGCTTCTTCTCAGTGTAGCGTGGGTCTTCAGACCAGGACTCGAAGCTCGTGGCCACCATGTAGTTGACTCGCGTTAGGATCTGCATTATTTCCAGCTGCTTGCCAAACTCAGTGAGGATGTTGCAGAGCGCCTGGACAAACCAGGAACCACGCCCAGGGTTCCTCCATGAAAAATATCCTAAAAAAAAAATCACGAGTTATAAAGTGAAACCTGGCTCTTGACTTTTTTTCTTCTGCACATTATATATTATAAGCATTCATTTATTTAGCAATTCAAATATGGTGTACCTGGCACCGTGGAGTATGCATACAGGAAATCTGCCTCTACAGGGATCTTATGTCTTGGATTAGCGTCTGTCTCCAGGGTGTCGTTTGGAGGACCCGAATCTGTCTGAATGCCATGGTCGAATTCAGAACCTCGACAAGCCTGGTGAAGTAAATGAAATGACATTTCATTGAGATCCTGAGTAGCTTTCTCAACGCTGACCTGGTGAAGCAACCGAAAGCTGAAATGAGCAAAAGTGTAGTTTGTATTAGCTGCCTGGGGGGGGATAAAAATGTTTTCACCCTAAAGCTTATTTAAACATAAATGATAAACTTCTAACGTGACCATCTGAGCACGTAACTATTTCAAAAGAAGCCGTTTTGCTGCATACCTGGATGAAGAAAAGTTTGGGCTTTCCGACTAAGCTTTTGCACATGTCTCCTCTGAACAGAGAGGTCACGGTCTTGATGGGCATGGCGCCGTCGGTGCCGTAGATCATGCCCTCCTCACCGTGGCTTAGCAGGATGCAGGCGAAACACGAGCTGTCACTATGGTCCTCCTCGGAGGCTGAGCAACACAAACACAAACACTGAACTCAGCTCATCCTGAACCTAAACTTCTGTGAATGAATGAATCCTTTCACTACCTCAAAGCTACAGAGATTATTTAGCCTTGTCTATTGAACTTTGGTAAAATAAAACAACCAACCAATCTCTAATTACAGAAGCTGTCTGTATAAAAAAATAAAATGGCCAAAAATACTTTTCTGGGAACCAGAATTACACTAAATAAGTCTGGCAATGAGTTACAATTTTCTAATAGATTCATATGTAAAATATGTGATCTTACAATATTTTCAAATATTAAAATGTTCTTTTTAAAAAACAATGTAACATAGAGCACAAGAAAATTCATATTGTTGCAACTAGCCAACATATTAGAATATTTCTAAAGAGATAAAAATGATAACTATTTTATTATCTTTGTTTCACTCATTATGCCTAGTGGTGCTTTAAAGTTTGTGTACTCTTTATAATGTTCTATATTTCTGCATGAATATGCCTCAAACATCATCAGATTTTCACACAAGTCCCAAAAGTAAATAAAGAGAACCCAGTTAAACAGATGAGACAAAAATATTATACTTGGTCATTTATTGATTGAGGAAAATGATCCAGTATTACATATTTGCTATTAGCAAAAGTATGTGAACCTCTAGGATTATCAGTTAAACTGAAGGTGAAATTAGAGCCAGGTGTTTTCGATCAATGGGATGATGATCAGGTGTGAGTGGACACCCTGTTTGATTTAAAGAACAGGATCTATCAAAGTCTGATCTTCACAACATGTTTGTGGAAGTGGATCATGGCAGGAACAGAGGAGATTCCTGAGGAGCTCAGAAAAAGAGTTGTTGATGCTCATCAGGCTGGAAAAGGTTACAAAACATCTGTAAAGAGTTTGGACTCCATCAATCCACAGTCAGACAGATTGTGGACAAATGGAGGACATTCAAGACCATTGTTACCCTCCCCAGGAGTGATGGACCAACAAAGATCACTCCAAGAACAAGGTGTGGAATAGGCAGCGAGGTCACAAAGGACCCCAGGGTAACTTCTCAGCAACTGAAGGCCTCTCTCACATTAATGTTAATGTTCATGCAGTGTTTCCCCTAATATTATACAAGCGGGCCCCGCCCCATCAACGGAACCGCGCGCCCCCATCACCGCGCATCCCCCCATCACCGTGCATCCCCCCACCAACTGTCGGCACTGACGTAACGCTAAGCCAACGGCTTGCAATACAGTTAGAGATGCACTGATCTGATGTAAATATCGATATCGATATCATAAGAACTTCTGGATCGGGTATCGGTGACAATGTGACCGATCCATGACCGGGCAGATCTATTCACTCTAATTCCATGATTTGTGCTCTGAGTGACGTCACACGCTAGCGTGGTGACTGAACAAATTAAAGTTGTGTTGTTTTTAGGTGTTTGACCAAGCTTGTGAAGCTCTTGGTGTGTTTAAGCTGCTTTGGCGCAGAGTTTTCAATCAATTTGTAATTCAACAACAACAAAAATGGCTAAATCATGTCATCTGGACCTGTTTCAGAAACAGATCCAGATGATTTAGCCATTTTTGTTAATTCAGCACAGTTTTTTTTTGTATCGGATCGGTATCGGCTGATACTAAACCGCATATATCGGTATCAGATCGGAAGGGGAAAAAAAGTGGATCGGTGCATCCCTAACTACAGGTGCGCTAGTTAAAAAGCTAAAGGCCGCCTTTTCCCCTCATGCTGACCCCCCACACACTCGAAAACTGTCGGTACAAACAGCGCGCGGCTCAAATGTGTGTTCCATAAATCAGTTTGAATTTGCAATGCCAAGCGGCGCAGGAGAGTGACGTCAGTGGCAGCTCTGCCTCTGCTGCCTCACAGAGCAGGACCTGGCTGCATGCGGGGGAAGTATCTGCCACTGACGTCACTCTCCTGCGCCACTTGGAATTGCGAATTCAAACTGATTTATAGAAAACCTTTTGCAGGGGCAGGGTGTGAAAATGAAGAAGCAGTTTCTTCTTCGTTTTCTCTGTAGTTGTGTCACAACGAGCAGTGTTGACATGAAAATGAAAGCACAGTTTGGAGGATCTATTAGCAATTTCATTTATGAATCAAAAATGCAGCTTGGACTTTGAAATGAAAAAACATTTCTGCTAATTCATTTTAATTTTCAAATTTGACATTTCAAAATGAATTCTGGTCACTTTGTACAGGGACATATTTTGAAAAGTAAATGTTACAACGTTATTTTATTTATCAGCTTCATTAATTGACTAAATGAGCAGTCTTGGAGAAGAAAATGAAAATGCAGTTTGGATTATTTATTTTAAATTTTATTTATGAGTCAAAACATGCAGCTTTATTTTGAAAATGAAAAGCATTTCTGTTAATCCATTTTAATTTGAAAATTGAGACACATTCGCTTCCATACATGGCAGAGTTGCAGGGAAGAAGCCAATGCTCTCCAAAAAGAATGGTAAATGGACTGTACTTATATAACACCTTTCTATCTATACTCAAAGTGCTTTACACAACAATCTGTGCCTCATTTACCCGTTCATACATCACTCTACTAGATCTCTACAAAGCTAATTGAACGAATCATTCTAAAGAGACTAATCAGAGCTTTATCACATTCATACACCGATGGGACACACATCAGAGGCAATGAGTTCAGTGTCTTGCCCAGAGACACTTCAGCATGTGACTGCTGGTGGATTCAAACCCCCAGCTCTTGCATTGGAGGACAACTGCTCTAACCACTCAGCCACAGCCGCCCTGAAGATTGCTGCTTGTCAGCAGTTTGCTAAAGATCACGTGGACAAACCAGAAGACTATTGGAAGAATGTTTTGTGGACGGATGAGATCAAAGTAGAACTTTTTGATTTAAATGAAAGGTTTTATGTTTGGAGAAAGGAAAACGCTGCATTCCTGCATAAGAAACTTATCCCATCTGTGGAACATGGTGGTGGCAGTATCATGGTTTGGGCCTGTTTTGCTGCATCTGGGCCAGGACGGCTCACCATCATTGATGGAACAATGAATTCTGAATTATATCAGAGAATGCTAAAGGAAAAATGTCACAACATCTGTCCATGAACTGGATCTCAAGAGAAGGTGGGTCATGCAGCGAAACAATGACTCTGAGCACACAAGTTGTTCTACCAAAGAACGGTTCAAGAAGATTAAAGTTCATGTTTTGGAATGGTCAAGTCAAAGTCCTGACCTTAATCCAATCCAGATGTTGTGGAAGGACCTGAAGTAGCAGTTAATGTGAGGAAACCACCAACATCCCAGAGTTGAAGCTGTTCTATGGAGGAATGGGCTAAAATTCCTCCAAGCTGGTGTGCAGGACTGATCAACAGCTACTGGAAACTTTTAGTTGCAGTTATTGTTGCACAGCAGGGGGTCACACCCGATACTGAAAGCAAAGGTTCACATACTGTTTCCACTCACAAATATGTAATATTGGATCATTTTCCTCAATAAATAAAAGACCAAGTATATTATTTTTGTCTCACTTGTTTAACTGGGTTCTCTTTATCTACTTTTAGAACTTGTGTGAAAATCTGATGTTTTAGGTCATATTTATGCAGAAATTTAGAAAATTATAAAGGTTTCACAAACTTTCAAGCACCACTGCACATGTTTATCTGCATTATTTCAGAAAATCATCGTTCCTCACATGAGGGCACTTTCATTATTTTTTTCTAAACAGCACACCCTCAGCTTGCAGGTGCTGGGATCAGAAGTAATAATCATCAATGAAAATTTGCTCACGGTACAAATGACTTCCTGTTAATGTGCTGTGAAGGCTCTGCCATCGTTACTAAATTGTTGCTGTTGAATTATTCATTTCGACAGCTTGATTTTTTCCAACAACAAAAAATAAATTAAATAAATTGATGTGCGATTCCTGTCAGTCACACAACACATTCACTGCAGTGGCTTCAAGCTAGAAACTCACAAATAGCCACTGTAGTGCTGCTATATTTTTCTATAATAAAATCTCATTTAAACAAGCAAAACCTTAAAAAAGAGACAAAAATAGCCTTGCAAAAAGGAAGACCATGGAAAGTGTTAAAATTGAACTTAGGAAATAATTAGAAATTAACAAAGGCCTTTCTACTCACCCTCTTTGAGAAGACGTTCCATCCTCTCACACGTTTGATCGTTGTAGATGCAAACATCAAAGCCCAGGTTCTTGAAGCATTTCAACAGCTCGCCTGCGTCTCGGTCCGTGCCGTTGCGTACATTCATCCCTGTCGATACAGTCCACGTTCAATCGCATCCTTTATGCGCTAACAATGAGCAAAACTAAACGAGGGCGTAAAATATATTGGAAACAATGTGAGCAACATGTTTGCTTTACCTGTCCTTTCGTCAAAGTTTTTGTTGTTGATGATGATGCACTTCCCCACTCGCTGGTGGCTCATCTTATACTGGAATGTTGGTGAAACAATTCGGTAATGGTTTTCAGAAGAGTTCTCCTGCTCCCGCGTCTGGCCATCCTTACACTTTTTACTAACAGAGTCAGAGAGAAAAAGAATACCACGTCAACTTGGGATCAATAAATTATCACAATATTCACGTCATCTACAATAATTACAGAAGTCTTTTACTTTCAACTCAAACGTGAAGATATTGTTTAAACCTTTTTGAGCCAAAGTAAAAATAAATTAAATTAGGCTCGTAAACTTGAAATTTACAAACTGTTGACTCTTACCATATGGTATAGTAACGTGCAAGTGAAGAGTTGTCTAGAAAATAGTCTTGACTCATTGTACATTTCTCAGGCTGAGAACTTTCTCAAGAAAACTGCAAAGACTTCCAAAACAGGTAATGGAACGTGAAACAAACTGAACTACTTACTCATAAACCAAAGCATACGTATGTTTTCAAATTAGGCATTATTGGCAAGGCCAGTTTTGGTTCCACTGCTGGGTAAAAGAAGATAGAGCATCTTAGCAAGCTATCAAAAAAGACTATCCTCACAGAATCAACGCAGACTGCCCAAGAAGAAACCATCCACCAGTGGCAACTCTCACAGACCTGTCATATTTTCATTCTTTCAAAGATTCGTCCGGATTGCAAAGCCAACAGTGACCCATTGGGCAGCTCAAAAGATCCAAGCGTGTTCCAGAACAGCCAAGTCATCAGGTGACTCAAGCACTAGAACAATGCACAGCACCACTCTTGTGCAACATTCACTAACAGGCAGAGCAGCCATTTTCAAATAAATGTGATCCAGAACATTTGAAGCCCCCGCCCCACTCCAACACACTGCACTGAACAACTGGATGAGTGTGGGTGACGAGCTGCAATGTGGACTCTGAATAGGGAGGAGGCTGTCAGTCTTACCTGGGCTCGTCATCAAGCGCTACGCCACTCTGCATCTGAAAAGTCTTGGGTCTAGTTTTGTCTCTTTTCCGCCCCACTAAATAAAAACAACTCTTTTTTTTTTTAGTGTGTGCTAGGATAGTGACATGCTCTCTGTACAGGATGGAGTCCGGACTGGACCCGCAGCTGCCGAGGACAGGGGCAGCGAACTGCGAGCCCCCTGAGTCAGCAGCCTCGCCACCGAACCAGGGCTTTCTAAAGGCCTTTTCACACACAGCCACTGTACCTCTCTCCCTGCTGAGGTCAGACAGGGCAACACGTTTCTCAGCTGCTGACAGGCCAAGAATCCAGCTGTACGGATATATGTAACATGATGTAACGGCCTGAGCATTTAACCTGCACAACGAGACGCACAAGAAGAAAAAATATCTGTTTCTTGACAAAAAAACACTCCCATTGTGCTGATCACCGAAACATACTCCAAAGTATATTCATGGTATTGATGAAGAAATAAATACCAATATATCCATATTTTAATTTCCCACAAACTTAGCAAAAGTATGGAAGAATATAATTTGCATTTCGGCAGAGGAACATTAATAAAACAGAAACTGAATGAGAAAGAGAGCAACACCTAATAATAGTGGCAAAGCAGCAAAAATATCAATTAGCATGTGTTAATAGAGTCTATTCAAATTAAATCAGAGCATGGAGAGTTGACAGAAATTAGAGCTTTGCAGCTTTGAGTCTATGAACAATTAATTATGTGACAACACCAGTTTCTCTACACCAATAAGAAAAAGTGAGTCCAACTCAAAACAGCACAATATAATCCTTAGGTCTAATCATTAGAAAACTGGTTCATGCATTTGTCACGTCTAGACTGGACTATTGCAATGGTTTATCTGGGTGTCCAAATACTTTTTTAAAAAGTCTTCAGTTGATCCAAAATGCTGATGCCAGAGTCTTAACTGAGAGAGAATATCTCTCCAGTTTTAGCTTCTCTCCAGTGGCTCCCTGTCAAATCCAGAATTGAATTCAAAAGCTTACTTCTAACCTACAAAGCCCTCAACAACCTAGCTCCATCTTATATTTGAGATCTTATTGCTCCATATGTTCCTAACAGAGCACTTCGCTCTCAGACTGCAGGTTATCTCATGGTCCCTAGAGTTTCCAAAAGCAGAATGGGAGGAAGATCTTTCAGTTATCAGGCTCCTCTCTTGTGGAACCAACTTCCAGTTTCTGTCCATGAGGCTGACACATTGTCCAGACTGGGACTAAGACTTTCCTTTTTGATAAATCCTATAGTTAGGGCTGGCTTGTTATGCTGCCTTAAACTTAAGACTACTGGAGGACAAATTGACCTCATTTCCTTAAATGATTTGTTAAAATTGAATAGTTTTCATTTGATATTATTTCTATCTTAACATGTGATTCTTGACCTGCCATTGTGTATCTGTTCCTACCAAACCCAGCTGGTCGAAGCAGATGGCCACTTGTCCTGAGCCTGGTTTTGCTAAAGGTTTCTTCCTCATGAGGGAGTTTTTCCTTTCCTCTGTTGCCTTCATGCTTGCTCAAGATGAGCGTTCTGCGATGGAGCAAAGCAGTCTGCTCCTCAGATAAAGTCTTAAATTATTATTTTTTACATATGAATGTTTCTGTTCAGTGCCTGAGATGACTTCTGTTGTGACTGAATAGCATTGAATTACCATCTGAAAATAACAGATTTCACCAGAAATCACTTATATCTAAGATTCTATATCGTTTTGTAGCTTAAAACATAAAATCATCAATGGCAATTTTAACATTTTGAGGTCAAAGTCCAAAAGGCATACTGTAATGTGTCTGTTTTTATTTTTTTTATTGTTAAATTACAGAAGAAATCACATTGAAACCTTTCTTTTTAAGAAAGGTTCAGAGCGCCACCTTGTGGGTGAAACTGGAACAAACAAGCACCTACAGTCAGCAACAGTGATCATTAAATAAGACAAAAAGTATTATGAAAAGATGTTTGCTTGTTTTTAATGTGTTTTACCATGTACTTCTACACACAAATTGTAATTTAAGTGCCTTTATTTTGATTTAATTTTATGGATTTATTGCATTTATTTAATTTTATATGGCATTTTATTGGCCTTAAAGGGTCTTTTAAGTTTTATTTAAGCACTTTTTAATCTACGATATGTTTTTAGCAGAAGTAGAAAAATGCTGAAATTAGGAATGCCGTCACAAATCTAAATTCTAGTTTATTTTTATTAATTACCAAACAGAAAAGAAATCTAAACCAATGAAAAGAACATGTGGTCAACATTTCCCTTCAAAACAGCACAACTTCTTGTTTTTGAAGACGCTCTGCAGGCAGGTCCTTGCAGACATCTTGAGGAAATAACCCCAGATTATCTGAGGATGTCTCTTGCTCAGATCCTTCTGTCACTTCTTATAATCCCAGAGACTTTAGGTGATCTTGAGATGAGAAGTCTGTGTGGGTCAAACTAGAACGCCTAAAACTTCTTGTTCCTCTTTAAGCTGAAGATTTTTTTCCTAATGACATTGACTCTCTGTTTGGGGTCGTTCTGCAGCTAAATTAATTTCCGCCCAATCAGAGGCCTCCCTGAGGATATTATATGATAGATGACTCGCTGTTTGTATTTTTCAGCACTGACACCATTAATCCTGACTGCAGAAAAAAAGCCCTGTACTTGCAGGAGACCTCCATTATGCTTCAATGCTGCATGCAGACACTCATTATTACGTTTTTTGTTTCAAATTTTGATTACAAAACCTTAACAGTATATGTTAAAACCTTAGTCTATTGAAATATTTCCTTGGAGAAACCTTTCTGGTGTAGTTTAACTACGTTGTGTCTTACTGGTAATTGCTATAATTCAGTCAGTTTTATAGATACTGGACTAAAAATTTGGTGTAGCAGAAGCTAACAGTCAGTCATAACACATACTCAGAGAATGACAATTTATAAAATTGCATTTTTATTTAGATTTGACCAAAATGTCTGCAACTCCCTTATCTCTTAACATATGATGTTTTCAGTTTAAAACTATTGCAAGAAAAATGATGAGCGATATGTATTTCTATTTAGAAAATCTAGGCCTTGATGGATGTTGCCCTGAAAGCAGAGGGGGCTCACACCAAGTCCTGAACTTATATTTGTCAAAATGTTCCTTTTTTTTAAACAACATTTTCCAAAATACTCAAGCACTTCATGCACATCCTTCAGCTGGCAAAAATGTAAAAAAAGCAGCAGTTTTTCTGATTTTACTATTTATAAATAGGTTTTTGGCTAAAATTATCATTCGTGTTTGATTCTATAAACACATTGACAATATTTCCTCCAAATTTCTAATGAAATATTGTCATTTTGAGCACTTATGTGCAAATCAGGACAAAGGGTGAGAATAACAAAAAAGATGCAGTGTTTCAGACCTTAAATAACACAAAGAAAACAAGGTTATGTTCATTTTTAGACACCGTAATAATTGTTTCATTTAAGTCAGTCAAATCAGAAATGAATATTTGATGCATAAACATGTCATAATTTTTTTTAGCGCTCTAGAAAACAATAGTGCTCCACCTGCTCCATTAAGCACCTATGTCCCTATAATGGCACAATCACATTGAATCATGTAATTATTTGTCTTTAAATGAAAATAGTCACAATTTTCACCAGTGTTTTTTATCTAAAAGTGCATGTTTCATACAGCTGCAAAGGAAAAGTTTGGCCACTAGGTAGAACCATACTCACCTGAATCAAATGCTTTGAAACGCTGAACCTGTTCAACACATTCTGTTTCATATTGATTCAGAATGCCTCATTTCTCCATCACTACTTTGGAGTTACTGCTAGCATGATGTTTTTTTTTTTTTTTTTAATAATTTTTCTCATTAAATAAGTTTTGTTTAAGGTGATCACCTAAATAGCACCACATAAATTCAACAGACACTCAACAGAATGGCTCTAATAAAAGTAAAAATGCTGATTTCAGAAATAATTAGTAGCGGGGAATTTTGTTTTGTCACGTTTCTGCTTCAGCCAAACATTATAGATGAATATGAAAGCAACAGCTAAACATTGACAGTAGTTATAAGCTTATTTTAGCCTAGGTTGTGTAAGTTTGTGTCACTCTTTGAAGGATTTATCTGAACACACGGATCACCTACTTCCCAAACAGCAGGAATCTCCCTTTGCGGTCAGGTTTGGCATCAACAGTGTCTCCCGCCGGGTTTTCATCCACTTCGCCAAGTTCTGTGTGTTCAACAGGTTCCCCCGCCATCTGCAATTATTACAACACAATATTTTACAGTACGGTTCACTACACTGACATTATTATAACTAGTTCATTCCCTATTTTTTACTAGTGTCTAATTAAAAAAAAAAAAAAAAAATTAAAAAAAAAATATATATAAAGCAAGACAACCAAATATCTTAATTTTTTAAGAGCTTTACTGCCGGTTGACAGTTTTTCCGGAGTAGCTTAGTGTTAGCTAAATTTGAGTTGTTTTATAACTTAGTTACAAACACGTTAGCGTTAACTTACACTCTATTATTCGTGTACGATGTTGTCAGCGTGCTGGTACCACAAAAAAAAATAAAGAAGAAAAAAAAAAGGTTGACTGTCTTCCTCTTCTCCTTCGTCAAAAAAGTTTCGACGTCTCTGTTCCTTGAACTTGAAAGTGAAAGGTAAGGAAAACTTGTACCGTACGTCCCAACGTGAGCTCCTCCCTACGTCATGCCGTCATAACAGTCAAGGCAGCGCCGTAACCATGGTGATAAAAATCCTACGCTTTTTTATTACAGTGTACGCAATATATGTCTGTGAATCCGGAATACGCAAAAACCTGTTTCTAATGATAATCTAGGAAAATCTACGGAGATTTATATCTGGAATTCCTACCAGTAAAAGAAATACAGTTTATCAAACGTCCATTTAAATGTTGCTCTGGTGTCGAAAAGCGTTGAAGATATCCATTTTTCTAGCTTAAAGAAATAAAAAGCAAGCACATTACTAAGACAGCTAGGAGTAGAAACCAAGTTCTGGTTGGTCTGGCATAGCCTATAACTGTCATACTTTCATAGTATTTGCATATTGATGTTAACTTGTGTGAGCTAACTCGTTTATTTAATCATTTTAATATTTGATATTGTTTTCGTTTTCTTTAGTCAGGTATTAAGATTTTTTTTATTTGGGTTTACAAGCTTTTCTGTTTTAGTGTTTACTCTCATTAAGCACATCATAATACTAATACTATTATTACTACTGCTACTACTAATGATAATGATGATGACAATAATAATAACAATAATGATAAAAACACTATACCATATTATGTTTTCACTTTGCTTTTATCTGAACGACATTTTATTAAAAAAAAAAAAGTCTGCTAATTGTTCTTTACTTTCTAAAAAGCTTAAGCCTGGTCCTCTGGATGAATACTTGAAGACTTGATTTAACCTTTGTAGATTTATCTACATGGATTACTGAGCATGTTTCGAGATGTTTCTTTACTTTCTCTTGATACAACATTGTGTGTCAGAATGAGAGGATTAAAAAGTCAAGGAAAAAAATGCAATTTTAGTCCATTTATTCCTAATACCTTGTAGGGCTGTAATAAATAAATGCTGCTCAAAGTTTAAAACTGCTAATTTAAATAGATAAAACTCCATCAGTCCTGAGTTAAAACACAAATCAGATATCACATCATTCACTGCTGAATACACACATATATGCAAAGTAGAAAAGCAGCTAAAAAGACAAGTAAAGGAGTTTTAAAAAAGAGTGAGAAAACAGAAGGTCAAATTGTCAAAATTCTGTATATGTTTATATGGATGGATGATGGATGGATGGATGGATGGATGGATGGATGGATGGATGGATGGATGATGCAATTGAATCTTTTTATTTACACTGATTATCTATCTATCTATCTATCTATCTATCTATCTATCTATCTATCTATCTATCTATCTATCTATCGATAACATACCTGATGAAAATCAAGTAAAACATTCTAAAGTTAATTAAACTTTATGTCGTGATGAGCTCATGACAGGAAGACCAGAATAAAACTAACCGTCCCATTTAAGACCATTACTCATACTCAGGGACATTTAAACTCTGTGTGGCAGAGGGACAGCTACACTCAGCCAGTCCTGAAGCTTAGGTCACAGAAGGGGGGGTCTGATCTAACACGGGACATGGTTTCAAGTGAGAGACCGTTTTAGAGTTTCACAGACTCAGAGCTAAGTTTACCACAAGGAAGGACGCAGCAAACTGACCAGCAGCTGAAAGAAAAGCATTTCATTTGATTTTACTTTGTTTTTTCTGAGGAAAAAGGATCCTGCAAGATGCAGTCGTGCGCCAGGTGTGGGTTTGTGGTCTACCCAACAGAAAAGATCAACTGCATTGATCAGGTAATGGACATTTTAGCTCACATTTCCAAATTAACATCCTCTGTGACAGTTTTGTAAAACAGTTGATTTGTGGTGTGGGAATTATCAGCTTCCAAATTTGGTAAAGTTTAAGTTATTATAAATCCATAAGGGCGTAAGGTCCAACATATGGTTCAGTCTAACAGAAGGTTAATGACCTAGACTGCAACTAATTACTAGAATTAATTGTTTTTATGGAGCCTATCGAGCACCTCTTTCATATACATGTTTCCATTCAATTATTTATTTCTTTACTCATTTTGTTATACGCTGGAACTACTTCTGTTTAATAACTGTATGAGTCTTAGTGAGTTATATGACATGAATTTAAATAAATAACATGCTACATGGAAAATAAGTCACTGAAGACATCAACAAGAACATTGATGGCATTCTGGAGGATGTTTATCAATTAAATTAATCAAAAATAGCCATTTCATGTCATGTTTCTACAGATTTTTTTTTCAAATGTAATTAATTTCCTGTCTTTTTGTCAGAATTGGCACAAAGCTTGTTTTCACTGTGATGTCTGCAAGATGGTCCTCACTCCAAATAACTTTGTCAGCCACAAGAAGAGGCCATACTGCTCCGTGTAAGTGCAATCTTTTGTGAAATTTAGGAAAAAAGTCAAAGATTGATCAAGATATATATAAAAAAGAAAAAAAACACATTTCTTTCCATATTATATTTTATGACAGACGTTTTGATCAATTCCTATTTGGTTTAAAATGATTTAAATTCTTGTTTTTAGGCACAATCCCAAGAACAACACATTCACAAGCGTTTACGAGGCCCCCATCAACATCAAGGCGAAGAAGCAGGGCAAGTCAGGCAGTGAGGTAAAATCAGATCATTGATGCCAACACACATGCAAGCAGCTCTGGCACTTTTCTGACTCAGTCTGTATTAACAGGCGTAAGCGACTGCGCATGCTGCAAGTGAAATATTGACCGTTTGTCAAAAATATTGGCTTGTATAATTTACACGATATTTTTATACTGGCGTATTTTAAAATTTGAGAATGTTGTTAATTCTGCCACATAAAGAATACATGACCTCCTAAATGATTTATCATAATTTTCGCACCATAAGGCGCAAATTGAACGAGATTAGGTCAGAAATTGCCCGCTCATTGATATTGCGCCTTATGCTGCGAAAAATACGGTAACTCCCAAAATGCAGTTGGAAAAAGATGATCACCGTCAGGGTAAGATCTCGTTCCATCTTTACTTGATAAAGTTGGACGCCTGCACTCAGTCCGTTTATGACAGCAGTGCTTTGGAATGAATAGTGAGGCTCAGGTTATTTCTGTACGCCTGACAGAGGCGAGACTACCCTCCCCTCTGCTTTACCCACTTTATGCTTCAGGTGGCTAAAATTATAAGTTGGAGAGAAAAAAGAACAGCCTCACATCCCTTCCTTTCCTCTGCCATGCCACCTGTTTCTGTCTGTCTGAGTCTGTCTGTGTCCACAAGTTCATGCAACCCCCCCCTGAGCTTGTGTTTGCAGGAGGCAAGCACGCTGATTAGCAATAAGCCACTAGAGAATGCATCTTAACATGCTGATTGATGGAAATATCTCATGATTGACTTCAGATCCTATACCTTAAAGGAAAAAAAGTCACCATTTCTGTAGAAATGTTGCTCATACTAATGAGTTTTGAAATAGATTGCTATTGTCAGCCCTTGTAACTCTTATCCTGTGCAATACAGCAGTTCTAATATTAGTTTAGCTTGTGTTTACTGCCAAAGGATGATCATCAAACAACCTTCATGTCCTTCATTCTCGATCTTTCTCGTCCGGTCTGGTTTCATCTTTATTGGAACTTGATAGTTATTAATAACAGCACAAAGAAGTTATGGGTTCAGGTTTTTCAGAGACACATTGATACAACCCCAGTTCTGACAAAGTTGTAACGTTACGTAAAACATTACGAAATACAAATCTCATAAACACTTATTTTATTCACATTGGAGCCTAATAAACATGTCAAATGTTAAAACTATGGAACTGCACTAGATGTTTTTTTTGGTTGAGGGAAATCCTTTTGAATTTGTTGGCAGTTGGGACAAGGCTATGTTTACCACTTCTAGGAACTGAGGAGCCCAGCTGCTGGAGTTTTTGGGGGGGGAATGTTGTCCCATTTTTGTCTGATGCTGGACTGTAGTGTTTTAAAAGCCTGGATCATCCTAGTTGGATTATTTTGCTGGAGGGAAGCACATCTTGTTCTAAAACCTGTATATATTTTTCTGCATTGATTGTGCCTTTCCATATTTGTAAGCAGCTCATATAGGAACTAATGCACCTCCATACCATCAGAGAGGCAGGCTTTTGATCTGTGCATTGATAAAAGACGGCTCTAGTTCCTCTTTAGTATAGATGATGCGGCATCTGCACTTTCCAAAAAGAATTTCACGTGTAATCCATCTCACCACAGCACTGTTCTCTATACAGTCCATTTTAAAACAGCTGTGACCCAGAGAAGATGGCACATTTCTGGACGGTCTTCACATCTGGCTTATTCTTTGCATGGTAGAGCTTTACCAGCATTTGTGGTGAACTGAGTTTGCAGATAATGATTTGTGGAGGTGTTCCTGAACGCATGCAGTGATGTCCAGAACAGAATCAGACGTGTTTTTAATGCCTGAATATCGAGCTCAAAGATTTCTTCAGATTCTTGAAATCTTTTAATGATATTATGAACTACGGTTGAAGGGACATTCAAAGTCGTCCATAATTTCTGTTGAGGAGCATTATTCGGAAATTGCTCCACTCTTTTTAGATGCAGTGCTTTGAAGACTGGTGAACGTCTGCCCATTTTTACGTCAGAGAGATTCAGCCTCTCTAAACTGCTCCTCAAGCTGTTTATCAAACCACACACGTTTACAGCCTTTCGTTGTCTCTGCACCCATTTCTTTAATGGTACAATTTCTTAGTTTAAAAATGTGATCCATTTACTATGTTCCATTGTGAATAAAATATGGGTTTATGAGATTATCAAAGCATTGAATTCTGTTTTAATTTACGTTTAACACCATGTTCAACCCTTTTTGGGTATTGGAGATGTAGAAATAAAACGGTTGAATTGGAAATCAGTTTGCTAGTTGTGCTACTGCCAATCAAAACACCTATAGTGGCTCTGTGGCATTTCTTTGTGTTGTTTTTAACTTTTGTATTGTGCAGCACTTTGTGCATCTTTTGGCAAAAAAAAAAAAAGCTTCTAGTAGTGATGCTTGTTTTTGTGCTGATGTTGCCAACTTCGGCTTAACGCTTACTGTTCATGTGCACTTGTAGCTGAAGTATTGCAACGACGGCGAGCGCTTTCAGTCCACCTTCCACTATGACATGAAATCCATGGAGATGGAGAAGGCTCGCCTGGCCGGTCAGGAGGTCAGCCAGGTGAGCCACCAAGAGACCAAGCTGGATGTTTCACAAAGTTATAAAGACATTTCCCACTAAAATCCTGATTAGTCTTTGGATAAATAAAATCAGAGCTAATGTTGTTTTGTTTTGCTTTCTCTCTAAAGGGCGGTTTTTAAATAGTTAAAGGGATTTAACTGAGTTACAATGGGGTAGAATCCAGGACTGGAACTGAAACATGGGCACCGTATCCCACCTGTTGAACACATCATCATATCATCTGCAAAAATGCACACTCAGAGTGAAAGGCTTGCTCTGTGTGGCAACATGTCACCAGGATTTGTTGCACAAGATCCACGCTGGACATTTTTACTCATATTATGACAAACTTATGTGTGGTCAAAAGGTTCAAAGTGAAAACTAAAACAAAAAGTGTGTTTCAGGTTTAATAGTATATATATATATATATATATATATATACTTAATTTGCAAGTTAAGTATTTAGTTTGTAAACTAAATATTTAGCTTGTAAATTAAATATTTAGTTTGGAACTAGGACATTTATAAATGTATGAATCACATGGTGACAATATGATTTTGGGGGGGTAAAAAACATTTTTTTTCTTATTAAAGGCTAAATAAACGCAAATATTGCTGTTAATATTGGACTGTGTAACTTACAAATGAACACAGATTTATCAAATAAACAGGACAAGAGCCTTGTTCTGATTTATTTATTTTCTATTATTATTGTGTTAACATTTGAAGGTACTAATTTTTGTTTCTCAGGATGGAATTGATCATGTTTGTTTCGACATTTTAAACAGGCCTTTCAGTCTCAGTCGGAGTTCTCGCAGCAGCAGGAGGCCTGGTATTTAGGGACGGTGACCAACCAGGAAGTAGTGACGATGTGTCAGGCACAGAAGACAGTCAGTAATGTGAGTGCACATTCATTTATTACCCTAAAAAAAATCTCTTACGTTTAAAACAACAGCGGTTTATATTGTCAATATGACCAACTCTAGTTAAATTTCTTGATTTCCACTGATTACCTTTGTGCTGCTGGTGCAGATGGAATACTCAGAAGAATATGGAGAGTCTAAAGGAAAAGGCAGCTTTCCTGCCATGATTACACCAGGTTACCAAGCTGCAAAGAATGCCAACACTTTGGCTAGTACTGTAAGTATAATATGACAGCCAAAACTGAATTATTAACACTATATCTTTGTAGCAGGATATTATAATCAGTCTTTATTGTCATTGCACCGAAGCACAACAAAATTACATTTCAGTGCAGCCCGTCCAAGAAACACAAACAACATAGACATGGGAAGACGGGGGTGCCTGAGGCTGCAGCCTCATGAGAGGCGCTGCCTTCTTTCGTTAAATAATTTGTTAGATCATTTTGTTAGATGTTTCAATTTGTTTAAAAATGAAATAAACAAAACTTTTTTTTTTTATCAGCTGGAATATAAAAAAGGACATGAAGAAAGAGTTTCAAAATACACAACATTTGCTGATCCGCCTGAGGTGCTTCTGGCCAAGAAACAAGGACAAATTGTCAGCGACGTAAGCTTTCGCTTCAGCATATCTGGATTATTTTTAACCATGTGGTTTTGAGAACATAATCTGTTTTACCTTACTCAGTCAAACAAATTAAAAAAAGTTCATTTTCTCCCTCCAGTACGCATACACAGAGGAACACGAGCAGCAGAGGGGGAAAGGTAGTTTCCCTGCACATCTCACCCCAGGATACAAGATATCAAAAAAGGCCTCTGAGCAGGCCAGTGACGTGAGTGAAAATAAAAGAAATGCATGTAATAATGTATGAACTGAAAGTACTTTTGCTGACCGTGTCGTGTTGATCCAGATTAAGTACCGTCAGATGTACGAGCAGGAGATGAAGGGAAAAGCCAGCACTGAGGCGGCAGCAGCCGAAGTGCTTCACGCCAGAGAGAATGCAGAGAACTTCAGCCAGGTGAGAACATAACAAATTTTAAATAAATTATCATTTAGCTAATTATTGCATGTTGTTGAAAGGTGAAAGGCAGGTATTACACTTGTCTTTGTGTGCCTGTCTGTTAGTATAATATCTCACAAACCAGAAGATGGATTTTACTGAAACCTTCAGAAGGTGATCACTGAATGGACAACTATAACTGAATAACTGTTGGAGTCAACCCAATTTAAGATGGCCGCCACAGCTAACTGACCTTAAAACCACATAAATGGCTATAGCGCACAATTTTAGAGATGTTGACTTAAATACAGCTGAAATTCATCCAAAGCACATATTCTGAGAACTAACAAATTGTACAAACACCTTTGTTGAAACGATTGCCACTAACTATTTGGAGTCAACACTGTTAGCAAAATATCTCATGAACCACTGGTCAGATTTACTTTTTTTTTTCTTTGTACAACTGAAAAGTTTTTGGCAGCTGTTCTGTAGCCAAGTGACTTTAGACTACACACGAATAGCTATAATTCAGTCCGTTTTACAGATGTTGAGCTAAAATTTGACATGGTAGTAGCTGAGAGTCATTTAAAACACATACTCGAGTGTAACATCTGATGATATCTCTTGAGATTGCGCAGAACTTTCAATATTTACCCAAATTGGCTACAAATTGTTGGTTTTTCATCTATTTTACATTCATTTTCTATAGACAGTTAAATCAGTCAGTCCAAATGTGTAGAAAATAACTCAATATGGTGAAACTCGTTTATTAAAAGTGTTTTGTTTTCCAGATCGCTTACACTGAAGAGTATGAGCAGCAGAGAGGTAAAGGAAGCTTCCCGGCAATGATCACTCCTGGATATCATCATGCAAAAAAAGCTCAAGAAAATGCCAGTGACGTGAGTATCCTTGTGTCGCTGCTGTCTGAACTTTTGTATCATTAAAAAATAGAAGTCTGTGTCACTCCCATCGCTACATGAGCTGCTTTTAAACGCTGCATGTCAAACCCTCAGCCTCATACATCATCTGGACTTTACTGGTCAGAAGCGACGAGACACAACAACGAGGAAATGTCCCTCTGACATAAATCTTCAGACTGTGCTAGCCTGCACATGCAGTTCTCTAATCTCCTGATCTTAACATGTCATGGCTCATCCGTCATTGTTTTGCAGCTGAAATACAGGAAGGACCTAAACAAGATGAAGGGCACGACCTGCTTCCACACTCTGAGCACTGAAGACAATCTGAGCCTGAAAAACGCCCAGAAAATCAACAAGCTTGTTAGTGAGGTGAGAATGATCGTAAAGCGCACAGGCTTGGTTAGTTCGGCTTTAATTGTGAAGCCAAATAAGTTGGATCGTTTTTCTGGATAAAATGATCTAAATATGATGTTGATAACTGGACAAGTTGGAAATATGGTTTAGTTGGTGCTTCTGCAACCTTTATGATCAAAAGAGCCATTTCTTCCCTTTGCACACTAAATAAAATGTGTATGGAGCAGCAAAACCTGCTAAAACTGTCATTCTGGCCAGTAGGTGCAATATTATGAAACAAAAATCATAAATTGTTATTCATATTTATTGATATTTTTATATTTTAGAAAAATGACTGGATTTAAAGAAGAAAAAAAAAGTTGTTTTTTTTTACCAATTTTATAAAAATTCAAACACAAGTGTGCAGGCTTATGTGAGTTTTCTTTTTAATTGTGAAAACAATTCATAAAGTATTATGAAATAATAAAGCATAAAGTAAAAAAAAAAAAAAAAGCCCAGTTTGTTGGATACATAATTGAATTGGAAAATGAAAATAAATATTTCCGTTTACTTTGACCTTTTTTTATTCTTTAATTTTTATTGTTATCAAGTTGACTCACCATTTTTCTTCTCAGCAACTTGTCTTAAAGGTATGCCCCCCTCCAAAAAAAAAAAAAACAAAAAAAAAACCAACAACAAGAAACAAACAAACAAAAAACAACTAATTGGTATATTTGAGTAAAAGATCACACCGTAAGACTGGAAGTGAACTAAAAGAAGTGGTTAACAAACTACTAGCGTGATGGAGTCAACAAGTTTTACTCCTTGTGTTAGTGCTATCATTCACACGTTGGCAAAAGAAATAAGCGGAAAACTTCTAAAACTAGTCATTTCTTCTTGTTGGTACAACGACCAGTAAACCAGTTTTATGTTCGTTTTGGTCAAAACTTAGACCCGCTGCAGAGGAACCAAAGAGAGCTCCAGATCCGCTGGTTGCAGAACCCCAAGTTAGTGTGTCAGTTTCCAAAAAACATAAAGCCATTTTCCAGATCCTTAAAATACTCATGTGGTGAGGTTGCAGCTTATGTTCAAGGCCGAAGTCTTCCCATCGAATTTAGGAGATTATTCACCAACAAACAAAAATTAATTTAATTCTGCTTAAAGGTACTCATTGCAAACTATGAAGCTTATTACAGCTTGTCCAGAACTATACCAAATGGTGCAGTTTGAAAGCGTTCACTCCAGTATTTTTCCAGATATATTGACATGCTATTCTGAAATGCAGGTATGCACTCACTGTAAACAAAGTACTTTTATCTGAATTTGTACTCACCAATTCTGAGGTAAACATATATCAGCATATCAAAATTGTCAGACGTATGCATCCTTAATGACTCTTCAAAGGACGTCGCCATTGCTGACTGATTTTTATTCACCCTGGGTATTTCTATATGTAAACAAAATTTACTTACAATTTATTCATGGTCTCGTTAACGGTCTTCATGACATTGAAATAAGTAGCTTTATTATAATGATGTAAAAACTTCATGAATTAAATTGAACTTTTTTCTGAGTTCTCTTAATTCAACATTTCTAGTTAAATTTATTTACCAAGAATGTTGATTCAATCTACTGCAAGTTTTTATTTATTTATTAATTTTTAATTTTAAGTCTTGAGGCAGCTCAAATTGACATAACTGAACTGATTTGGGATCTAGACTGAGTTAAACCAAGTCAACAAACAGTTTATTTTCAGTATATACTCATTATTTTCCAGGGATGTCGCACCGAACTATAACAAAATACGAATCTTTCTTTGCAGAGAAATACCGTAGACTTTAATATTTGCTTTATTTCTGCAGGTGGAGTACAAGAAAGACTTGGAGAACACCAAAGGACACAGCATCAACTTCTGTGAGACGCCACAGTTTCAAACTGCTGCCAAGGTCGCAAAGTTCACCAGTGATGTAAGTCACAGAAAATAAAACGATACATGGAAACGTTAGCACGCAGGACAACTTGTCCTGAAAACATTTCCACAGCTTTCTATTCTTCTACTGTGACAGAACAAGTATAAAGAAAAATATACGAGCGACATGAAGGGGCACTATGAAGACTCTGGTTTGGACAAGAGGACTCTGCATGCCATGAAAGCCAGGAAGCTGGCGAGTGATGTAAGCACGTATAATATATTTAAATTACCATACTGATCTGCTTGGATACATCACAAAATGGTTTTGTAAAAATACTACACATTCTTTTAAAGTAACATTTATCTGATGAAATAAATAAAACGTATAAATACTGTAACTATCATTAGCACAGACATGTTTTTTTTAATGTTTAGTTGTATTTTTTGTTTCAGATTACATATAAACAGGGTCAGGAGCAGGAGCAAGGGGAGTACAACTACCCAGCTACTCTCACACCAGGCTACCAAAGCCAGAAGAAGCTCGACCCTCTGAAGGATGTAAGTTCTAAAGTAATTTAAGTTTGTGTTAAAAATGTTTTGACCACATGCTGGGCAACAGTTGTATATAACCATTAATGTCTTCAAACTTTACTTCCAAGGAATCAGAAACTCCTGGGGAAAACAAAACAAAACAATAAAACTTTAAAAACCACTGGAGAATCTTTGATCCAGCCCACTTTAAACAACAGGAAAGTCTGGCATATAAGCTAAAACAAGCACAACATTAGCTATAAGCTAAAAATAGTAAAAAGCTAGTGAAAAATTAAAAGCAGAAAAAGGCAAGCTAAAGCTAAAAGTAGCAAACGTTTATTAATTAGTAGCCACTGGTGGACACAGTTCCGCTAATCCGCTAACAACTAATAGCAATAGCTATTAGCAGCTAATAGCTAAATAGCAGAACACATTTTTGGTTTAGCAGATTAGCGTTTTTGCTAACTTCAGAAACCGTTAGAGGAATTAGCTTCTGCTAAATTAGTCTGTTAAGTCAGGTCCTCTGGGTGGATTACAAAAAATAAAAACATTTAAAAAAAAATTTGTTGAAACATTTCATCTTTAATCCAATAAAACACCAATCTGAGGAGCTGTAATAAACTCAGTTGTTCCTTTCTATTGTAGGCGTGTCTTAAACGTTACAAGACGTGATTGGTCGACAGAGCTTTAACTGGGAGGAGACAAAGACGATGCAGCAGTCACAGTCGTCTTAGCTGTTAGCAGTTTAGCACTAGAAAATCTTTTTTTTTTTTAGTTAGCAGAATATGGGTTAGCAAAGCTAACTTTTTGGTTAGCTGTGACCACCACTGTTAGTAGCAAATGCCAATCAGAAGCTAAATGTAACAAAAGCCTAGCTAAAAGCTGCAAGCCACAAAAATCTAACTAAAGGTCAAAAGCAGCAAAATGCTAGCTAAAAATTAAAAACAGCAACAGCTTAGTTGAAAGCTAAAGCCATCAAAAGTCTAGTTAGAATTTAAAAGTAGTGAAAAGCTTGCAGCAATTATGATTAATTGACAAATGATTTATAAAGGTGTTATTTATGAGCTTGTAAAGATGGCATTAATAAACAATAAAACACTGTTCATATGTTTAGTAAGATTAGTGTACTTTTGTTCATTCAAATAAATGTAATGTTTTGCTTGTTGCCCTGCTTGCATTTTCTTAAATTGTCACTTTATTTCTAAACCAAAGTTGTTCTTGCTTATAGGCAACATGCTAAAATGTTTGATATATAAATGTTCAATAATGAAGAGAGATAATATAGTGGCTATCGCCTTTTGACAGGAAATGAGTTGTTTTTTTATCTAATGCGCTGAAACATCTGATTAATGTTTTAAGTGTTTACAACTTACAATCATTTATGATGTAAATTTGTGTGTGGGTTTCTTGCAGAAGAACTACAAGCAACATATTGAGCGGGTCAAATACAAATCTGTGACGGACACACCCGAGATCATTTTAGCCAAGAAAAACGCTCAGCTTGTCAGCAACGTAAATAAACATTATGACTATTTATTCCTTTTTAACACGAATTGCACGTACGAGCACTGTGTTGTAGTTGTGTAAACGGACACTGTTTTTGTCCCTCACAGTTGAACTATAAAGCAGGCTATGAAAAGACGAAGCATCAGTACACGTTATCCCAGGATCTGCCAGAAATTCAAAAGGCCAAAGAGAATACTGCTTTGTGTAGTGATGTGAGTGCGTACCAGCATGTCTTAAATCACTATTTATGAATTATCTTTGCCAGGTTAAGACTTTAAAATCTATATATTTTTTTGCTTTAGATCAAATATAAAGAAGAATGGCAGAAGACAAAGTCTAAGGCTTGTGATATCGGTGTGGACGACCTGAGCGTGAGAGCTGCCAAAGCTTCCAGAGAACTGGCCAGTGATGTAAGTGTCCCACACTCCTCCTCTGTGAAGACATGCACCGAGACTGCTGACATCGAAGCAAGAGAAAAATGAAGTGACTTCGATTCGGTTTCACAGGTAGCAAATGGAAATAAACTGGCTGATCATGTGTTTTAGATTAAATATAAGGAGTCCTACATGAAAAACAAGGAGAAGGCAGTCGGGGTGAACATGAGCGACTCCAAGACTCTGCACTCTCTTCAAGTGGCCAAGATGAGCAGCGATGTAAGCAGATCAACCTCGCCAGGCTTCAGGGTTTCATTCGTACACGTGCAAATAAGCAAAGTACTATTTGACTGGTCACTTTCGGTGTTGTCACTTCAGATTGAGTACAAAAAGGGCTGCAAGGAGAGCCAGGCCCAGTACAGCCTTCCTCTGGACATGATCAACCTGAGCCATGCCAAGAAGGCTCAGGCCCTCGCCAGCGACCTGGAATACCGCACGAAACTCCACGACTACACCGTCATGGCCGATGACATCAAGGTCCAGCAGGCCAAGAAGGCCTACTCTCTCCAGAGCGAGGTAAGAAGGATAGGTGGGAGCTAAAGGTTTATTTTTAAATAAGCAAAATGAAAAAGATTGTTGAGATTTTCTGACCAACAGAACCAGTACCGTTCAGACCTGAACTGGATGAAAGGAGTGGGCTGGGAGGCCGAGGGATGCCTGAACATTACTCAGGCCAAGAAAGCTGGAGAGATGCTCAGTGATGTGAGTTTATATGTTTTATTCAAACTGTCCTGGTCCTCAGGGTGTTTCATCCATGGGGACTGTCTAGTAAGGCAGACACTTATTATTATCCACCTGACAAAGGTTTTTTAACTTTATATCTTACTCTTCCGTCAATTTCAACGACCGGCTCGGCACCGTGATGTGTGCTATTACTTTTATTGGCATTTCGAGTTACCAACGTAATTTTCAAACAAAGATGCCATTTTTATTTGTCAGTTTTCATAGACTCTGGTTGCAAATCGAATATCCAAGATGGCCACCTGAGCTAAAAAAGGAAAAATACTGTAAATCAGCCCTTTTTAGAGATATTAAGCTGAAATTTGGTGTGGTGGTAGCTGAGAGAAATGCTCCATAAATAGCAAAAAATAAAAATACAATTCGAGATGGCTGCCAAAGTTAAATTTAAACGGCTTTAACTCAGCTGTTTTTACACATAGAGCTGACATTTGATGTGGTTATATTTGAGAACCTTCCCCATCACAGTGAATTCAAATCAAACATCCCAGATGGAGACGATAGCTTCAAAGAAAAAAAATGACTTTACCCCAACATATACTGTCAAATCAGAAATTTAAAGTGGTCACAAAAGTTTCTCCAGGAACTTTCTAGTGTTCTTTTTGTTTTTCCTCAGAACAAATACCGTCAAAAGGCCGACAAGATCAAGTTCACGCAGGTGGCTGACGATCTCTCCACCAAACACGCCAAGAAGTGTCAGGAGCTGCAGAGTGATGTAAGCGCCTCTTGTTGTGAGCAGTCACCCTGTACATTCCATTAATTGCTTCTACTCAGTGTATTTAAATTGTATATATTGTTTTTTATTTTTTAGCTGGCATACAAAGCAAACACAGAGCAGATAATACACCAGTACACCATGACAAAAGACGAGCCCCTTTTCAGACAAGCTAAAGCCAATGCTGACCTGCTCAGTGCGGTAAGTTGTGAATCATCGTTTGTTGGACTCAATCGAAGTTTATAGAAGAATCAAAGTTGTTTAGATGAACTTTGGTTAATCAAAGGTTTGGTCCTTTTAAAATAAGAAATTTTAGCCAATTTCTGATCAGAACGGACAGTTTGTTTTACATTTGGAGAGTTATATTCGCATAAAAAGTGACAATAATACCCTGTTTTGTTTTATTTTATTTGTATTTACAGAAAACCTATAAGAGCCAGTGGGAGACGCAGAGAGACAAAGGCTTCGAGCTTCGTCTGGACTCTCTGTCCATAATGACAGCCAAAGCCAAGAGAGACCTGGCCAGTGCTGTGAGTGTTTTCGTCGATCATGTAAATTGATCTAAAGTGAAAAGCTGCACATGCTTATGAGGTTATGAGTTGTGAAAATCATGAAGAAGGATGTATTTAAAATTTCCAAGCTCGAGTATGAACAACCGGATAGTTTAATTCTCGTTGTCTTCCAGGTCAAATACAAAGAGGAGTATGAGAAAAGCAAAGGCAAAGTGATTGGCATCAAGTCGGTGAGCGATGACTCTCAGATGGCTCATTCTGCTCTGGCCACCAAACTTCAGAGCGATCATCACTACAAGAAGAGCTACGAGGACGCCAAGACTAAATACAGGTAAGGCTTGTACTGAGCATCATCAAACTTCGTTTCTCCAAACTGAGGTTGTTCCAAGAATTAGCTTCAAGAGTAAGATATATAATTGTTCCAAACCTTTTCACGGTACTCCCCTTCAAAGCTCTGAACTATTAATACAACCCTGATGTCAGCAGTAATTAGGAAAGCAGCTCCTTCGTCTGAACATTTCATTTCCAAAGGTCACATGAGCGCAGACTTAAATACAAAAGATTGGTTTTCTGAGGTGGACAGCTATGGGTCATGACCCTGATTTAATCCAAACCAAGATAAAGGGCTAAAGTACCCATTTTTTAATAAAAAAGACTCTGCTCTTATTCTCATTCATGTGCAAAACTGCAATAAATGGTTTTAAATGTGGAATAAAACTCCTCTTTTTCTGTCTGAAATGAAACTTGTCCTCAGCGTTTCTCTGGACATGCTGAACATCAGCCATGCCAAGAAAGCTCAAGACCTCGCCACCGATATCAAGTACAGGACTTTCCTCCATGAATACACCACTCTGCCGACTGACCTCAACGTGGCCTGGGCTAAGAAGGCCTACGAACTACAGAGCGATGTATTTGGTTTTCATTTTAAACAACTTATGTTATATACAAGGGATTATGTCTGCAATGCGTTAATGAAAATTCAAAATATTAATGTGTACTTGTTTGATTTCATGTTTAGAAACAGTACCGCTCGGATCTGAACTGGATGAAGGGCGTCGGCTGGGAGGCCTCGCAGTCTCTGGATGTCCAGCAGGCAAAGAAAGCTGCAGATCTGGCCAGCGAAGTAATGGCAAACTCTGTGACCCAGAATGCATTGCTGCAATGACAAATCCAAAACAATAATTATACTGAAACTGACTTGGCAAAAAGAAATAGCAAAATGCTGCCACAATTAGCAAAACAGATGGTAAAATCAGAAAACAGTCGCCTTAAACTTTTAGCTAAACTGATATAAGAATTAACACAATAGCAGCTAAATTTAGCATAGCAGTAGTAAAAGTATCAAAACAGATAACATTAAAATCAACAGAACAACAGCTAACACCTTGATATGGAATGGTAGCAAAAAACTGAAAGTAGCAAACTGCAGCTTAAAGTGGTTAAATGAAAGCTAAAAGTAGCATAAGAAGAAAAAAGTAGAAGTACACACTAAAGTTAATTTAAAATAAAGCAACATTTTGAAGGAATTTAAGAGCTCCCAATGTATTTCTAAGAGGATTTTCATCAAAATAAAGTTAAAAAATTGGAAGTATAAAAGTTATTAAAACCACATCATAGCATTTTATTTTAGACTGAGTTGAAAGTTTTGCTTTATGATTGGTTAAAAAAGCTCAAAGTGTGCAGAAGTACTTTTGACAGCATTCACACAAACTTATTAGCGCTGTGTTATAACACTTATGACTATATATTTTCATAACAATAGCAATGATTAATTTGGCAGCTGCTGCTTTAACCACAATATAGTATGCGACCTTTGGTTCCCCCGTTCTGTAAATATTCCAAACATCCCATTTGGTCACTGAATCTTTTCATATTAAAGCCTGCCTCAGTACATGGAGAACTTTTTGTGAGATGTTTATAGCACAGACTGGAGGCACCAAACTATTCATAACCTCATTGCAGGCCAACAGTTATTTAAAGGTCATTCCAGTTGGGGTCACCATCATTAAACCCTGACATGATACATGGAGCAGGAATATACCAGGAACCAGACCACTTTTGAAGCAGGCTTTTTAAAACATTTACATGGATTTTTATTACTAGCCAGTGTGTACATCTTTGTTTTGTTATTAATTATGGCAGATATTTAAAAAAAGCAAGGACTCATGTTTGTGATATTGTGATGGTAGCGTGCCCTCTTCTGCATTTTGCAGTGAGTCCGTTTCATGTCAAATTGTTTCTGCAGAACAAGTACCGTCAGGATGTGAGCTCTCTGAGATTTACCAGCATTGATGACACTCCAGAGATGATTCAGGCCAAAGCCAGCAACAAACTGGCCATTGATGTAAGTTGACTGGATACAAAAACGTAAAAGAGATGCCACTTTTCCACAACATGGATTCTGGGGTAATGTTGGTTGTCAGTGAAAATGTGTCTTCTGCTCTGCAGAGGTTGTACAGAGAGAAAGGAGAAAACTTAAAGCACAACTACACAGTAAACAAAGAGTTGCCTGAGCTGGTGCAAGCCAAGATCAATGCCCAAAACATCAGTGAGGTAAAGTTGGGTTTTCAGCTCCTCGTATCCATCAAACAGCTGATCAGTCTGTTGATTGTATCTGCGATTTTTTTCCAAATATGTTCTCAGAGTCGTTACAAAGAATCGTGGATGAAACTGCGTGATGGAGGCTACAAACTGCGCCTGGATGCTATTCCTTTCCAATCAGCCAAAGCGTCGTCAGAGATCCTCAGTGATGTGAGTTCATTCAATCAAAAAATATATAGTTGAACCGAAACATGATTTTATTTAACTTCACTTCACAACAAAACTCTTTAGTATTTTATCACTAACACAACAGTTCCGTGCAGTAATGTTCCTTCTGTTGTGGTTTGTGTTTCAGCAAAAGTACAAAGAACTGTTTGAGAAGAGCAAAGGGAAGATGATTGGGCTCAAGACACTGCAGGATGACTTGAACATTGCTCATTCAGTTCATGCCAGCACGTTACAGAGTGATGTGAGTGATTCTGAACTGTGCTTTATTTGTTAAAACCAACCATATGCTGTATTCGGAAACACTCTATTGGGGTATGTTATCCTTTTAGATAAAGTACAAACAGAAGTCTGCAAAGGAGCTCTCCAAGTTCCACCTGTCCATGGACATGATGGATGTTGTTCACGCTAAGAAGGCCCAGTCACTGGTCAGTGATCATGACTACAGGCTGTCCCTGCATCACTACACCTCGCTACCTGATGACATGAAGCTGCAGGCTGCCAAGAAGGCGTACGCCCTGCAGAGTGAGGTGAGGGGGACTGTCCGATGCTGCAGAAACCTATACATTCTTAAATGCACCATATAAGTTAACTGTTTATTTTATTTTATTTTACTGCAGTATACTTAACATGACTCAAGAGTCAACTAAAGAAATAATGTTTTCTGTAAATAAAACAAAAAAAAACAAGATGGCTAACTACTGAATGACTTTGTTGAAATTTGCTGAATAAGCTGAAACCGAGCTGTTAAAGCTCAAAGAAGCAGATTATTTAAGAAAAAAAAAGTAAAAAAAAAAATGGAACATCATTGTACCCATCTCCCCAATGAGGTGGATGTTCTGATATAAGATATGTTTGGAATATGTACATTTTGGACTGCTTGTTCCACAGAAAGTGTATCGCTCTGACCTGAATTACTTGCGAGGTGCCGCATGGATCGCTACTGGAGCTCTGCAGATTGAAGGATCCAAGAGGGCTACAGACCTCATCAGTGAGGTGAGATGTCTCAGATTTGTCTGTTATAATGGACATAAAGCACCTCAAAATAAGACGTATTGTTTCTTCTTGTAACAGAAAAAGTACCGACAGCAGCCGTACAAATTCAGGCACACAGTTGTTGCCGACTCCCCAGACATCATCCACGCTAAACTCAGTGGTCAGATCACAAATGAGGTGAGCCAGTGAGCTTAGTTTCCATGTTCCCTTCTAAAGTTAGAAAACATAATCACAAAAAGCAATGTTATTTTTTTCTTTCGTAGCGTTTGTACAAAGAAAAAGGGATAAACGACCAGCACAGCTACACTATTACAAGTGAAAGACCAGAGATCACACAGGCAAAGATCAATGCTGCCAACTTCAGCGAGGTACTCTTCCAAACTTTAACCCATGCACTTTAATATATGCAATATTTATTATAAGATCTGAAGTGCTTGTGTGATATTTTAGGATATTTATGTGCTTACTCTGCAGATAAAGTACAAAGAGTCCTGGCACACACTGAGAGCTCAGGGCTACAAACTCACCATGCAGGACATCCCCTTCCAGGCCGCCAAGAGCTCCACGGGCATTGCCAGTGATGTAAGTGCTACCAAACTTTAAATATTATTGTGGGATATTGAGAAATAATTTAACTGAAAGTGACACAAATTATGTCTTTCCAGTATAAATACAGACACAACCATGTGCTGGAGAAAGGGAAACACATTGGAATAAAAATGACAGACGACCCATACCTCCTCCACTGCCTGGAGGCCGGCCGGCTGGCCAGCCACCAGGAGTACCGCAGGGATGCTCTTTTGACCAGCGGGCAGTACCATCTCACGCCGGACATGATCCATCTGGTGGCGGCTAAGAACGCTCAAGCCCTGGCCAGCGACCAAGACTACAGGAAGAGGCTGCACGAGTACACGGTGCTGCCTGATGACATGAAGGTCAAGTGGGCCAAAAAGGCTTACAACCTGCAGAGTGAGGTGAGAAGCTGAGATGATAATGGGATGAAAAACAAATCAACAGCAGATGCAACTTGTCTCACGTGTTTTTGTTTTATGCTTAGAAACTCTATAAGTCAGATCTGAGTTTTATGAAAGGAGTAGCCTGGGATGGAGTCGGTGCACCTCAGCTAGAGTCTGCTAAGAAGGCCGGAGAACTAATAAGTGAAGTGAGTACATAGGAGAAATGGTGTTAGACTAAAATTAAGCCTGTAATAATGACTTAAAGGCCAAAATATTTAATATGTGCACCCATTATTTTGCATTTTAGACTTTTAAACTCCCTGTAAAGTATCAGAAACTGCTTACAGCAAGTGCTTTGTAAAATAGACAAAAATATCTTTAATACCTCTGATGAATTTGCTAAATGTTTTATGCTGACTGTCTTTAAAAGTCACTTTAAATTCTTCAAACTTAAATCTCGAGCTTTAGTTATGAATGCGAGTGATGTTTCTTCCTGCAGAAGAAGTATCGCCAGCTGCCAGACAGGCTCAAGTTCACCTCTGTGACTGACTCTCCTGACATTATCCACGCCAAGACAAGCTATCAGCAGTGCAGCGAGGTTTGTTCATGAATCGATTCAGTCTATTTATTGCAAAGGTTGTGCTTCCTGGTACTGACGTACATGTCTTCCACATGGCCCATTACAGAGGCTGTACAAATCTGGGAAAAATGACGACATGCATAAATACACCTTACACCCAGATGACCCGGACTTTGTCAGAGCCAAACTCAACGCCCAGCAGATTAGCGATGTGAGCCGCAGGTTCTGCCTACGTAGAAAATAATCATTTAGATTTTTGTTGAAAACATGCTAACGTCTCATCTTGATATTTTTACCTCTTCCCATGAAGAAAATTTATAAGGCGTCCGGGGAGCAGGTGAAGACGTCAGGCTACGACCTGAGGCTGGACGCCATTCCTTTCCAAACGGCCAAGGCCTCCAGAGAAATTGCCAGTGATGTAAGTTTTATTCACGTCTTAATTTGTGTCAAATTAAACATTTGATACAATTAATTTCAAATTAACATATCCTATTAAATTTTAAATGTTAATTTTCCAACTAAAAATCATGTTTTGTTGTGGTTAAGGGTGGTAGGTTGTAAGCATTAAAACATCTGGGATAGTGTATGAGGGTTTCTTTAATGAAATAAGGCATCAATGCCCAAAGACAATGGGGTTTTTGCTGAATTAATGGAAAACCCAGCCATGTTTGGGAATCTTTAATTCCAACATTCTTTACAGTAGAGAAATAGTTTAAAGGGTAAAAGAGCGACAGAAACTTGAATGTTCCATAACTGGACCGATACGTACTTGCTACCATACACGTCGCACTGCTGTATAAGTTGCATCAGTGCAAAAATGTCTAACAAAGTGGAAAAAACATAAATAAGTCGCATCGATTATGCATCACCGCTGACATGTTGTGTTTGTTACGCATCACCGCTGACTACCCGAAAACGTGGGCCGGTGTTGTGCCAAAAATCAATTGGTTACCAAATGGCGGCTGCGGGAGCACGCACGGGAGGACTTTAACAAGAATTTAACAAGATTAGCACTTAAAAACAATTATTTGTTTGCTCGACATTATAGTAAAGGTGTATCTCAGTCTATCTTTTCCTTAATAAATGCACCTTAATGGTCAAATCAGCTGCATTTCAAAAATCGATTTGCGGCTGCAGGATCACGCAGAGGCAGGACTCGCAGTGCATTTCTTCGAAATTTAACAAGATAACCACCTAAAAACAATTATTTGTTTGCTTAACATTATAACAAATGTTGTCTCAGTGTAACTTTTCCTTAATAAATGCACTTTAATGGTCAAATCAGCAGCATTTCGCCTGGGCGGCGCGGTGAAATGCTGCTGATTTGATGTTTGCTCCAGGAGTCCTGGAGCGAGAGGAAGGTGGCTGCTATGGCAAGTCAAGTGTCTCATTAATAGCCACTTTTACATATTAATGAGAAACTTGGCTTGCCATAATGCTCGGGGGCCCTCTAGCGGCTGCACATGGTAATGTTTAATATTTTTCATGTCAGAAAGAATGAAATCAGATCTCAGCCAAAAATTGGATTATAAATATGGGGAAAAAACGTATATTGGTCGTGTTGGTGTATAAGTCGCAGTACTTGCAAATTTATGCAAAAAGGTGCTACTTATATGCCAGCAAATACGGTATTTTATATCCGACAGTATATGGGTTTTACGCAATCACAGTTTAATTTTGAAAAATTTTGAACATGTTCAACTTGACATATGATGCCAAACAGTTTATAAGCTGTCAAGATGTTCCAAAATCTTTGCAATTAATCTAATTTTATTGCCACAACTTTTACACTTCTTACACAGTGCACACAAATAGTTTTCTGTCAAATCTTCTCGGCATGTTCACACCCAAACTCTCATTTACTCCTACTGTATCCGATCCCAGAATTTGTCTTTAAAAATGGGAGTGAAGTGTTTTGTAACCTTGCTATTTCTTTGACATAAAACACTGTAAACACATGAAAGTGTATTTGTGTGACCAACAGATGTTAATTTCTACTTTATGTTTTCAGATTTTTTAAATATGACCAAGTTTTTAAACAGTGACTGCTTGTTTCAGAGTCATTTCTTCAGAGAATTCTCAGTTTTAAACATTGAATACTAATACTCGTTAAGATGTGAGCGTTGTCTACTCCAACAGTATCGCTACAAGGAGTCTCATCTGAAGGACAAGGGCCACCAGGTGGGCCTGCGCTGTGTGGAGGATGACCCCAAGATGGTGCACTCCCTGGCAGCCAGCAAACTCCAGAGCAACCTGGAGTACGCCCGTCAGTCCAAGGAAGAGCACGCCCACTACAAAATCAGCACCGACCAGCCCGAGTTCCAGCATGCCAAGAAAAGTCAGGCTCAGGCCAGCGACCTCGCCTACAGGCACAAGCTCCATGACTACACCTGTGACCCCGAGCAGCTCACCATCAAGCACGCGAAGCAGGCCTACAAGCTGCAGAGTGATGTGAGTCCAGCTGCATGAAGAACAAGATCATAAGACGCTCATTCAAACTTCAAACTGCAACATTTAGTGGTGGAATGTTAAACGATTGCTGACATTTGCTGAAGAAGCTGAAACCGAGTTACTAAATCAAAAAAAAAAAAGAAGAAGCAGAACACAAGCTAAAAGAAGAAAAGTCAAATGTGACAAGAAACCAAACACTAGCTAAAAGTTAAAATCAGCAAAACACTAGCAACAAGCTAAAAGGTGTAAAAGGCTGACTTAAAGCTAAGCTAGCAAAGGGATAGCTAAAAAGTATCAAATGGGATAGCCTTAAATAACAGCTAAAAGCCAAAAGGCTTGCTAAATAAAAATGAGTGTACAGCTGATCTAAGCAAAAATGCTAGTTTAAAGCTAAAAGTAGAAGAACAGTAGATGGAAAATGAAAGCAGCAAATAACTAAAAGCTAAAAGTAGCATATGGTTAGCTAAAAGCTGAAAGTAGCATAAGGCAAAAATAAAGCAAGATGGCTCAAACTGATTTAAAAGAGAAGAAAGTCTGGGTAAAAAAGAGAAAATCCTATTGTAAGGGGTAATTCTAAATAAAATTAAACATTTTGAAATGTTTGAAAAGTTACAAAAACCTAAGGTCGTAGCATTCATCTCCTGAATGAGCTGAACAGTTTGATGTATAAATAGCTGAAAGAGCACAAATATGCAGCGGTAGTTCAACTGAGAGAAGTGCATACATAAACATAAAACAGGAAAGCAATGGTGTGAATGCTGATTTAACATTCACAATATTAAGAACAATGAATATGATTTTAATTAGTGCTCCTATTGATTGCAGGTGAACTACAAATCTGACCTGAACTGCATCAAGGGGGTGGGATGGACCCCCCCTGGCTCCCACAAGGCTGAGATGGCTCGCCGAGCTGCAGAGCTGGGGTTCGCTGAGGGAGTTACCACCGAGGAGGCTATTGCAAAGTACCAGCACATGGTAAATGGGCATGAAGGGGGGGGGTTCTGGTTAAGAACGTAGAACAATAAAAAGTTTATATTGCTTCAAATCTTCCCTTTATCTCGTTCTTTCAGCTGCGTCACCAGCAGCAGATGGAGCAGCAGCAGCAACAACAGCAAACTTCAGAGCAGGTGGAGACCAGCGAGGAGGTTCAACGAGGCGTCAACATGGACGCCACGGAGGTGCTTCAGGTCAAGAGGAAGAAGACCATCCAGACGGTCCAGAAAAAGTCCTCTACCGTCACGACTTCGTTCAGATCCATGGAGAAGAAATCCAGCTCCACCTCGTCCTCTTCCACAGCCGCCATCCAGAACACAGTGAAAACAAATCTATCCAGTAAAGCTGCAATAGAGAATGCATAGAGCAGAGGTTTTATATCGATTTTGCATTGATTGATTTTGCTGCAAGAGCATGGTTTATTTTTATTTTTTTAATTTTGATAAAACGACTATTGAGAGATATGTGGGGCTTTCAAAACTGAACTGCTGTAGCTGCAATGAAGGAGCTCAAGCATGTTGAAGATGGACAGGTTCTTGTCAGGTGAAAAAATGGTGGAGGTATACAGGTATGTGCAGAACAAAGGGGACTTCTTGGCTAATTTTCTCAAATCTACTAAACGTTTTAAACAATTTTTAGAGGACCATTGTTGTTACAGATTCAAAAAAGAGAAAGGTTATAGAAACTGAATTCAGATTGTTGGAGGTGGAACGTCAAACAGGGAAATGGCTGAAATAGAATTTAAAGTTACCTTTTTTTTGTCTACTATCAGCTAAGACTGAGAGCTGGACCAGTGCTTGCTGTGTGGCCAGCAGTGAGGCGAGCAGACTGTTTTGAAGTTTTATTTTTATTAAAATCACAAATACTGCAGGTGAACGATGCACAAAAATGTCCCTGCAGCCATCTGATAACTTTGTTAGGCTGGACTTGGAGCAGACCTACTGAAATCATGATCTACTGACTGACAGGTTCAGCTTTGTGAGTTTGTAATGTTGCTTTTAACTCAAAGCTGGGCTGTGAGTATATGTTAATTATATTATCGCTGTTTCAATAAAGTTTTTTTGTTAAGGCAAACTATGTTTTGTTTTTCTTCCCTGCTTATAAAATTCAGTGAGAACCACAAATCACACTTTTACAATCCAGTAAATTTCTTCTTGCCACTGATTTGTGGAGCAACTTGTGGACAGATTCTCCCACCTGGATCTCTGCACCTCTTCCACTTACCTTGGGGGCTTCCGGGCTGCTTCTTGGTTCAATGCCAAGTGGACGGCCATGTTTTGGTACGGATGAAACTGTGCCATGCACTTTTCATTTTCAGATGGACAGCACAGCATTCCCTTTCTTAAAGCTTTGGCTATTATTTCATTACCTGCTCCTGATTTACACTTCCCAGCAACTTTGTCCCTGATCTGTCCGGTGTGTTCCTTGGTCTTCATGATTATGCTTGACTACTGTATCGACCCTCTGAGGTCTTCAAACAACACTGAAGTGCCAGAGTTGGATCCAGTAGGGTTGCTATACATCACATTTTAGCTCAATAGCTGTAAAACTGAGGTTCTATTTCATCCCTCCTGACCGCCAGAGGGCGGTGCTGAAAGCACTGAATGTTCCCTTCGCGCATGCGCTGATTCGAGTAATAATACCAACGGAGTCACAGGTGTGACACGGATGACCAATCAGAGGCTATATAGCCCGACGTCATCCGCTGCTCTGCTCCTATTTTCTTCTCGCGCGCGGTTCAATTCAGGGCTTCAGCCCTTTGGACCTTTTCTGAACTTTTTACCGTCGTCGGAAGCCCGACTGCCCGTCTGCGGGAGTAGCGTGCTCGCCCTCCTAGGGCTGCGACGGTTTAACCCTGTTCAAAGGTATTTCTGCTGTTTCGTTGGGAACTACGGCGGTTTCCGCCTCTCCCAACTTACAGCGTCTGACTACTATGTGTGTGATTCAACACCGGTGAGTAGTGTTTTCCTTATATTTCGCCGTTGGTTAGCGGTAGCGTTCGCTCCGCTCACGCTTGTTGGGAGACCTCCAACCGCGTGGTCGGCTGGACTGTGCTCCGACGTTGTTTATGACTACTATGTGTGTGATTTAACACTGGTAAGTAGTGGTTTTTTGCTTATATTTTGCTATTGGTTAGCGGTAGCGTTCGCTCCGCTCCCGTTTACTGGAGGCCTCCAACCGCGTGGTCGGTTGGACCGTGCTCCGAAGTTTGTTTATTACGTAGCCAGCTGAGTTCCTGGCCTCGTTTTATTTGGTGAAGGCGAGTGTTCTCACCCCCTCTCCCAATTGTCCTCTCTTACCAGTTGAGCTAGTGGTGCTAGCCTCTCTGAGTTTTCACTTTGTTTTCATTGGTGAAGGCGAGCGTTCGCGCCCCCTCTCCCAATTG